GGAAAGAAATAAAATTACTTATGAGGAGAATACTTAAAGAAAGGATAGTGCAAAAAAAATGAAATTCTCTTAACTCTATTGAAATTTCTCAAGTTTATTCAACTTTAGAACTAATACTTTAAAATATGGACCATTAAAAATATCATTTGGGCCCTGCCCAGGTGGCTAAGTTGGTTAGGGCATCATCCCAATACAACAAGGTTGCAGGTTTGATGGCAGGTCAGGGCACATACAAGAATCAACCAATGAATGCATAAATAGGTGGGATAACAAATGGATGTGTTTGTGTTTCTCTAGATAAAGAAATAAGTTTAAATATCATTTAGCCAAATTTCCATACAGAAAATGTCCACGATTAGGCTGTAAAGAGAGCGAATGTACTTACGATCATGATGTGACACATATTTATCACCAACAGTTATATATTCCATCTCACTGAAGAGGCCAACCCTCTCCATATCAGATTTTGTTCCTTCTCCAGGCATTGTTGCGTCTCCTGGAGGCGTTCCCTATATCAGTAACTTCAAAAGGTTCCTTTGGGCTACTTCTATTATAGCTCAGGCCTACTCTAGGATGAAAAATACAGTCTCAATTACCTTCAGTCTGGAAGTGAATGTTCTCTATAAAACAGTAGCCCCAAACTATGTGGGGAAAGAACCTATTTTGTGGGGCTAAGGCTGATGGCATTCCAAACGATCACCGTGAGCCCTCGCTTTGGCTCTCCAGGTGAAACACCACAGATTACAACGTGTGTATGACTACATTGTGGCATTGCCTTTCATCTTCTGCAAATGGTAAAATTATTGCTGTAATAATTTGCAGTGAGGTACAAATACTGTGCAAACAACAGCCCTCTTTTGAGTGCAAGTTAGGTTTAAAAGGCATCATTAACTAGGGCAGGTGTTTTCAGTTTAGATCAAATGACTTAAACATACTGCACCATCCCTCATCCTGAAAATTAGAACTTAACTTTTCAGAATGCACAACACATACAGGTATTACCCTCTAGTTCCTGAGTTTTTTCAAATTTCATGGGGGCGGGGGGAAACAATTTTCTAACCAAGATAAACATAAAGAACAACAAAACAAATAAAAATCCACAATGACTTCAAAGTATTTGTGAAAGGGTAGAATGCCAACTGCGATTTCCTTTTGCAATATCACATGCAACTACTTACTTAGGTACGATTTTCATAATTAGACGTGTCCTAAAAAGGAGGACCAAAGAGCTAAGAATACTTGCCTCCATTTTCTCATACTATTTTTAAAACGCCAATTTGATTTAGACACTGGGCATACATCAGTAAATAATTCAAACACTGGCTTATGCCTTGAATGTAGAAGTTGTTTCACCTGAGCATGAATCACTGCTAGTGTGCAATATCAATGAGACAAGAGAAGATTCTGGTTAAACTAAAGCTAAGAACATACAACCCTTCCCTCTATCCTACCTCGCCCTCTGATCAGGTACCCTTTAAAACTAGAAGGCAGTCATTTGGGGAGTGCTACTTCATGTGCGTGGTATTTCAAAGCTCCATTCCCACTGCCTCCCCACAAAAGCTTCCTGTGGTTTTACAGCTCACAAAGCGCTACCACCCTCATCTGCTACGAAGGGACACCGCTCCCTGGCACCTGAGCTCCAGTTGTCACGGGTGGAGCCCTCCCCAGCCACAGGACCATGGCACGTGCTGTTTCGCTTTAGGCAGGTTACCAGTACTTCACTGAGCCAAACCCTTTCATTCCCCCAATTAACACTGAACCTTCGTACTACTCAGTGCATTCATCACTGTAATTCCCTCTATCGTAGCCACAGGTGCTTCTCTTTCCATGCCCTCATCATGTTACCTAATGGGTTATCATTTTACATCCACGTGTAGAGATCCTTTAACAATTGTCTTCACACACACACTAAATCAGAGGTCCTCAAACTTTTTAAACAGGGGGCCAGTTCACTGTCCCTCAGACCGTTGGAGGGCCGGATTATAGTTTAAAAAAAAAAAACTATGAACAAATTCCTGTGCACACTGCACATATCTTATTTTGAAGTAAAAAAACAAAACGGGAACAAATACAATATCTGTATTTGCATGTGGCCCGCGGGCCGTAGTTTGAGGACCCCTGCACTAAATTGTTGGCTCTACAAAGGCAGGCACCAAGGTCTGAGCCAAGTTTTTATCACA